TTAAAAAAAATATTAATATAAATAAATAAATGTAAACGGTTTTTTAATCGTTCGGAAACCCGTGATCACCCTCTGTAAAAAACAATAATTATTATTATTATCAATACTAAAATATTCAATGTCGATATTGTTGCCATCACTATCATCACCTCGTTTATCATTGGTACGATACATAAGCCGATGAAATAATTTTCGACGAAGTAAACGGGACCGGTTATTTAGTTACGAATTAGAATTCATTTACCTTGCAAAAAATAATTTTCCCACATTAGCTAAAATCGCAAATAAATATGTGTATCTGCTACTTCTACACCAAATAAATGATTGTTCAGTGATGCTAGTAACACATTGACAGTTAAAAAATCAAAACTCGATCCAATTCTTTGAACAAATGTTTATAAAATTTTGGATAGGTAATGAATGATGATTTTTTTTTTTTCCTGACTACAGTCAAACCCTGTTTCAACGAATCTATGGGAACACATAAAATTACTAATCGCGTTTCAACGAATTTATATGTTTTTATATGTGAATTAATTATAATTTGTTGAAACGACATTTGATTGTATATTGATATTAATGGATATTTAGCGGATATTTGATGGATATTGATATTCCAGCAATAACAATACAATATTAGTATTAGTATTAATATTAAAATATTCGGATATCAAAATTTTGTGAAGGAATGATCAGAATATCCGACGTTTTCTTTTAACTAAAATAGCTCGTAAAAAACAACCACCCTCTAACAATACTTACTAGCTTAAATCTCCTCTTACCACGCGATGTCTTCTTTTTCAATTCTAGAATTCAGAAAAAATTTTGATTGACAAGACATATTTATACGCATAATGTTGTATAATGAAGTCTCCCTAATTTTTTTAAAACAAATAAATTTTATAAACAAAGATCCAAGACAAGTGCCGGGCATTCGCTCATCGGTATCATTTGGTGTTAAAGAAGAAGCACTATTTGTTAACGGCCAGAGGTACAATTTTCTTTCGTTGATATGTATATTTAATGAATATCTATTATAAATATGATTGAAATCAAAACACGGAACAAACCTTGTCATATATCTTCTAGGTAATCATTAAGATTCTTTATCGTAGTAAATAAATGATTGGTATATTTGCTTTTCGTAACCATCATCAATATTAAATAACAATGATAAAAGTGTTGAGGGTTAGGCAACATGACCGTTGAAGGTGGGAAATAGCCCCTCATTAATAATTTCTCTAACAAATAAATTTTTGATTTGTTTAGTTTATTACTAAACAGGTCGGTCACATGAGCCCCATCCCACATAACTGACTTATCGAATTTATATCATCCCAGTTATAATTGTTTCACACCACTTATTTTACAATATACCAGTTGTTTTAGCTCTACCCTGTTTTCACATACCAGTTTCTCAAAAAAAAAAGTCAATTTCAATATATATATATATATATATATATGAAGTTATAGGTGTATGAAAAGTGGTAATAAAAATAATAATTTATAATGGTTCTAATGAGTATGAAAAGGCAATTGATTTTTTAGAAAAAGGTTATGATTGTGGTTGCTCTTCAAGAATTCCAAAGGAAGAATTTGTAGAATTACATGAGTCCCTTCAAGCTCTCTCCAAATCTGAGCAAGGTATATTTTTGATGGCACAGATTAAAGCAATGGATGATGGATTAATAAGCACTAGTAGATACTTTAAAAAGAAAACCAGATCTAATAAAAGAACTTTCTACCGATGGGATCACAATACATCACTTTGCCAAAAAACCTATCCCAATATGCTAGGAATTGGTAGGACTTGCTTTGAAAATATCAGAAATCATCTGATGAACAATGGACCTCTAACAAGAGTTCATGTTAATATTACAAATAGTCAATCGACCAACTCTTAAAGAAGATTTTACAAAAACTACAAGGACAATGATCAAACCTTTATTTATAGACCAATTGGTAGAATTTCAAGGCAATATTAATCATTTAGTTAAATTTCGATTTTGTTAAATTTCAATAATTTATCCATATTTTATCCATATTGAATTTAATTGATTGTAACAATTAGAATAGAAAGTAGTGAAGAAGAGTGATAATAATATTGAAAATGATATTTAGTTACTATTTATACAATGCGCAGGGCAAGGATGGCTCTGTGACCAATTCGCAACTCTGTTGATGAATTGTAGTGCCATGTAAATATCTAGATCCATCAAAGCAACAAGAATCAGCAACTTGTTTCAAGCACCAAGAGATTACAATTCAGAGATCAATTTCATATACCCTTAGAAAAAGGGATAATAAGTTCTTTCCAAACTTTTGTGTAACTTGCTGAACCTCGTTGACTTTGCTGCAGATCAAAACCATACGTGTGATTTGCAGAGATCGTCAAAAAAATGATAATTTTTAAAAAAATATTTAAATTAACAAATTCATTATTATTCGATAATTGTTATTTTTGGTATACAGCGAGCTGTTTATTTGTTGTAGAATTAGCATTGAATATTTTAATAATCAGAAATGTATCATGTAAGTAGCAACAAAAAAAAATGCGAATAATAGTAGTGGTAATAATAATAATAATAGACAATTTATAATTTTTTTTAGATACAGAAATTGATTGGAAATCATACATGCAACAAGTTTCTGGATTTTTGAATGGAGAAAGGGACTATCAGAAACTTGAAGGTGATACTGGTCCATTAGTGTATGTGTGTTTAAACAATCAATTGATGGTTTTTAAAAGATTTGGGAAAAGTAAAATAAATAAATAAAATATTTTTAATTAGATATCCAGCAGGATTTATTTATATATATTCAATTCTTTATTATTTAACAGATAAAGGGAATAATATATATAAAGCTCAATATATATTTTCTTTGATTTATTTATTGACATTATTGATTATTTATAAAATTTATAATCATAATAATAATAATAATAAATCCAAATTAAATGAGGTAACAATAACACATCACATTTTTCTGATTCTGTCTTCTGACAGATTTAAGCTATAAATAATAATTTTTTAAATTTTTTTATAATGTAGATTCCTCCATACGTTTTAATTCTTCTCTCACTATCAAAACGTATTCATTCAATTTACATATTAAGATTATTTAATGATGTAATTGCTATGCTATTGCTATATTTATGTATTCTAGCAATGATTAATAAGAAATGGATGTTAAGTAGTGTAATTTACAGGTAATTAAAGTGAAAGATGCAGTCGCTGGTATTTATTATTAATATATTTATATAATCCTTACTAATAAAAAAATGATAATTGTTTAAGTTTATCATTATCAGTTAAAATGAATATTCTACTTTTTTTTCCTTCGTTTGGACTTTTATTATTTAAATCTTGTGGAATAATTAAGACTTTAATTAATATATTAATTATATTTTTGATTCAAGTAACGTATAAACATTTTAAATAATCTATTTAATTAATTTAACTAATTATCACCCACTCACTCAAATGAACTATATATACTTATATACGTATATAAATAGATTTTACTATCTATTCCATTTATAATGCACAATTTCACATCATATTTTAACAAATCATTTGAATTCAATAGAAAATTTAATTATAAATGGACTGTTAATTGGAGATTTTTAGACGAACAGATATTCAACAGTGATTTCTTTTCAAAATTTTTATTATTTTGCCATCTTATTACTCTATTTCTATTTCTAACCAGAAAATGGTGCAGGTAATTATTTAATTAGTTGTTGATTGTTTTGTTAATTATTTTATTTAGTGTTAAATTCTCTTTATTATTATTTGTTATGATGATGGTAGGAAATATAATGGATTAATCTCTGTTTTATGTGATGGATTACTAAATAAAAAACAAAAGTTCATAACATCAGATCGTAAATTTCAAAAGATTTTTTTTTTGATTTTTTTCAATAATGATATTTTTTAACCAACATAATTATTATTATTTTACAGACATAATTATTTTAATGTTTACCAGTAATTTTATTGGTATAGTGTTTTCAAGATCTTTACACTATCAGTTTTATTCTTGGTATTTTCATCAATTACCATTTATCTTATGGCATTGTTCTAAATTACCAATAATCTCGAGGTGAAGAATAATTAATAGCAATGATTATAAATTGAATGTGTGATAATAATGATAATACTAATGCTTTTATTTGTATTCCATTTGTAGGTTGTTATTATTATTATTAATTGAATATTGTTGGAATGTTTATCCATCAACAAACGAATCATCTTTATTGTTATTAGTATGTCATTTAATTATCTTGATAAAATTATACATAGGAAATCCTGAAGTTGAAAGAAATAATGAGGAGAGAATTAATGAAATGAAAAAATTGAAATGAAAAAATTAAAATGAAAAAAGGAATCAAAAATAAATATGTGGTAGTATAATAATCTATTCACAATTAATATATAAATTAATTGGATTTATTTTTATCATTATGTAAAAAATTTATTATTGTTTAGAAAAATTATTTAAGTTGATAATAATAAAAAACATTAATGTATTAAAAAAAAGGATGTATTGAATTCAAGGTATTTTTTTCAACAGGTCTATATTAATTTAGGTTGTATTATTACTTTTCAAATCCATAACTTCTAAAAAGTATATATATCATTTGTTCACTATAACACCAAAAACCTTGATACTGTTACAAATCTTTTGTCTTTTGGAAAAGAAATTTTGAATTTAAACTAAATTTTTTAAAATAATAAGAATAATCGTAATGTTAACAAAAAAAGAATAAAGTTACATTAATAAAGTAATAGACACAATAATAGTAGCAAATGACAATGATCCTTAATAATAATCATAATAATTACCTTTTGGAATATCAAGTACATATTGAGATTCTACATATCTATGAGCGTGTCCATCATCTTCAAACTCGAGTAAATAACAGTCCTTTTTGGATGGTGTAATCTTACTAGGCGGAAGGACAACAACTGCTTTGTAAAAACATGTTGTTTCTGTGTACAATGCAAGGACTGGATGATCTTTTGGAAATTCATTAATTTTAATTTCTCCTCTATTTGCAATTGGAAGAACATGCTTATTTGGTACAGTAAAAAGTCTAAAACAGCATATATAATATGTGCTAAAGATGAATTTATCTAATAAGAAGAATAATAAATGAAAATAAAAAAAATTATTTTATTACCTATTGGATGCCTCAAATTGGTCTGCATCTTCTACCTCGTAACTTTGATAATGATCAAAAAAAATGAATTAATGAGAGCGATGTTGATGATAATAATAATAATAAAGAAAGACATTTACGCTTTAACCTCAGGTTTATATCCGACTACGGTTGCCAAAATCCAGTTTTGTTCTGCTGATTTGGTCACTGGTTGCTTGGCTGCAACCTGATTATTATTATTATTATTATTATTATTACCATTAAAATTTGCATAATATAATTAACTTTTTTATATAATCTTCTGATTAAATAGATTTTCTTACTATAGTTCCATTTTTAATGATGCTATTAAGTTTAGAATTTTTCCTATTGATTAATTATAAATGAAATTTTGAAAAATGCTTTCATAAATTAATCAATTGATTGATATTAATACTGACGCTGGTTTCTTTAACTTTTTAGGTGGTGGTGATGGTAAAGTTACTATTTCTTGTTGTTCTTTTCTTTTTTTTTTCTGATTATTATTATTGTTATCATTGTTGTTATTATTATTAGTATTAATATTATTAATGTTATCATCTTTTATAATCAAGTTACCTATAATTAATGAGCAAAGCGGGTAAGTGAATGAATAAATTAAAATCATTTATGGTAAAAAAGTGATTGTAAATTAATTTTACCCGTCGTTCGATCATATTCGTTGTCATGATGGGGCTTCATTGATAACAGTTTTTCACAGTCGCTTAGAATTATCTTGGTGATTCTTTGAGTTTATATATATATATAGTGTAATATTTATAGTAATTATAATAAAGAAAGATAAAGATAAAATAAAACAATCAATATTTACTCTTCTTCGCAGACTGTCTGGTCTATCATGTCAGCATATAAGGATTTAAGAGCTTCTTTAATTTTTGGTGCAATCACACCCGCTAAAATAATTTATTAAATAATAATAATAATAATTAGCATGAATGTTAAAAAAAGATCTAAAATTAATGAAATTTCAAATATTTACTTTGTTGGATTTTTTCGTGGTAAGAATTAATTTGATTGTTGAGTTCTATTCCTCTTTCTTCTATTCTTTCATATAATTTAATGTATTCATTAATTTGATTAATTAGATAATCTTCTTCCTTGGTATTTGAAGAATTTGAAGAAAGTTGAATGAGATTTTTTGCTAAATCCATTGTGTTCTAAATTTTTTTAAAAATAATTTTTTCTGTTTTAGCATACGATTTTCGTGTTACATGTGTTCCGAGTGTTTATTTATTATTATTATTAATTATTATTACTATTATTACTACTACTACTATTATTATTATTAATAATTATTATTATTATTAATTATTATAGTCGCGAAAATTTTACAACTTAACCGCGCCTAATAAAATAAGTATACCATTATTCACGTTATTTGGTCAACGAAACAATCGCTACATAGGTAAACTCGATAAGTCGGACATTTATTTTATTATCAAGTGTATTATTATATTACAAAGTAATTTTTTTATTTAGAGTATTTATAGCATGTAAAAATTATTTAATGGTTCGAGATGGCGTATATACATTGTACAAATTTAATTTACTATAAAAAATTAATAGTAATTATTATCAATAATAAGTATTAATAATACAACACGCCCCAGCCAATAACGCGTGTCTATGTCATGCCCACCAGTTGTGAAATGGCACTCCCAATCCTGCCTCAGTTGGTTACATGGCCTTCCATGAATCCTGATCATCCTGACAACTTCAGGGAGCAAATATAGTGGTAGTAAATGTGGTTGTGATGATTTGACAATTATGTCTATTTACAGTTGTTCACTGTAAATTTTTTTTTTGATTTCTGTAAGATTTTTGGCCAGTAATCCATAATGCCATAATTGCAGGTGCATGCTGCCAAATTTCAAACACAATTTGCAGATCATGGTCAAAAATTGGCAACATAATATAAAACTTAATAAATCTCCTTTGTTACCTACTCATTTTATACAAAGTGAACAGGTCTGATATCTTATCAATTATAATCACCATATGGATTTACATTATGCAAAAAACTCAATTTTGGTCAGAGGACTCCAATAAAAATAATAAAAATTGTGTTTATGTGACATAAAAATATACCTTACTTTGAAGAAACATCCATTGTTACACTAATTTTAGTTAAAGCAAATAAATTTTTTATTAAGGAAAATATTATAAAGAATTTTAAAAATATTATTAGTAACATTAGATGTTCAAGTTTTGAATTTTTGGTAAAGTGTGAAACAAAGAAATCACTAGCAAAAAAGCTATATTATACAATTATTATTATTTCTTTTCAAGATAAATTTTAAATCAAATATTTTTTTCTAACTCAATATTAATTCTAGGATTTATTGAATTTTTTCAACTTTAGTACTTTCTAATTAGTGATGTTAGCTGTTTAGCCGGCTAAGTCGTTTACTACTAAATTGATGATTTTATTTCTATAACCAAAAGGTAACGCGGAAAATCTATTACTAAATTTAGAAATCATGTATGCAGATTATTAGCCTGCATGTTTACATAACTCTCCTGGAAGAATAAATCTACAAATTGGATATTCCACAATGTGATGGATGGTTGTTGTTATAAATTGCCAATTTAGATGCTTCGTCATAAATCTTTTCAAACATGTCATTAATAAATGAATTTACAACAGATATTGATTGGAAAAAAATTGAAATGTCAGTATGAACCTTAATACTTTAAATAGTCGACTAAACTTTTTTTAAACAACTAATAGTTGACTACTAATAATACTAATACTAATACTAACACTATTCTAATATTATTATTGTCTGGCCAATTACGATTTGTGTTTTATCATTCAAAATGGAAAATTTCTAAATAGGAGAGTATCAATAACATAAATATGATGATGACGACAATAGTGGTGGTGTTGTTGATGATAATTTTACATGTGAACGAATAAACACTTCCGATACAAGGTCCAATAGTTCATTGGCTTCAAGTTCCAATGATTTAAGCGGTGGTTCCAGAAGTCCTTTAAAAAAAACGAATCGTAACACATGATTTTGTGTGAAAGTATTTTGAAAAAGTGAAAGATTCAAATGGAAATAATTTGAAAATTAAAAAAAAAAAAATTTAGTCGACTAAAGAAATTTTGACCGACTAGTAGTTGACTAAGTATTTTTTAGACGATTCCAACCTCTAGTATGACATTAACCACGGAAAAGAATGATAATATTAATAGAGCATTAATCAGGACATTTGTAATTTGTGATATACTTTTTAATGTTATATTTTATTGAGTTACTTAGACAACTTAGACCTGCCTACACACCACTTAATAATAAAGCAATTTAAGGAAGACTTCTTGATACAAAAGTGGCTAATATTAATACCAAAATTAACACGTAACTTGTAGAGATACAAATGATTATGGACATTGTGAAAATAGAATTGAAACAATGATATAGATAATTGGTATGATTATGATTAAAACTAAATAATAAGATTAATAAGAAAAAATCGCAAAAAGCTAGGATTAATTATAAAATTCGATATTTTTTAATGATAATTTTTGATAATTGATTGAAAAATTCAAATAAAATAATTGATTTTTAGTCAAATGTATTTATTCGGTATGGTTTTTGAATTTTGGTTTAGGTTCAAACTTGTAAGTGTTAGAAAGTACTTTTTGATTGTTACTATTATGAAATCTCGAGTATTATGTTTGTTACACGATGCTTTTTTATTTATTATTGATTTAAAAATTAATTATAGATGATCTTTCATCAATATAATAATATATATATATAACAGCCAACATTATGAGACGAGCAGATTATTCAAGACAACATTACAATAATCACCAAAATCCACAGCAACAATATTATGCACCACAACAACCACAATATCAACAATCTCCTGATTCGCACTCTGTAATTTTGGTGACTGCTGGTTATGACCATACTATCCGTTTTTGGGAAGCATTAAGTGGCATTTGTTCAAGAACGATACAACACCCTGACTCTGTAGGTTATTTGCTAAAACAATTTTAACTTAAATTTATTTTAATCTTTATTTTGATTTTTTATTTAGCAAGTAAATAGGTTATGTATATCTCCTGATAAAAGATATCTTGCGGCAGCAGGTAATTTAGCAATAAATTTGATAAGATATTTATTTTTTAATGGTAATAATAATAATTATAATTATTTATCAATTCCAGGAAATCAACATATTCGTTTGTATGATATTGTTAGCACAAACCCAAATCCGGTAATTGATCAATTGAATTAATTAACAATTTATGTTTTCTGATGTTTAAAGAAAAATCAAATAGCCTAATTGTTTCGTTTGTCAGGTTGCTACATTTGAAGGCCACACGGGGAATGTGACAGCTGTTGGATTTCATTGTGAGGGGAAATGGATGGTTTCAGGGAGTGAAGATGGAACTTTAAAAATATGGGATACAAGGTGAATAAAAAATAAATATTCAATTAAATTTAATTAATTAAATAAATTTTTATTTTACATTTGTAAATTAATCAAGAGCCACATCAGTTCAACGTAATTACGATCATAAAGCTCCTGTGAACGATGTAGCTATTCATCCAAATCAAGGTGAATTATTTTCTTGTGATCAAAAAGGAAGCATCAGGGTCTGGGATTTGGGCGAAAATAGTTGTACTCATCAATTAGTAGGTAGATTCAAATAACATATCTTTATATTTATTGAAACATTATGAAAATCATCATCAAATCCAGTTATTATTACAATAGGAACCTGAAGAAGATGTCCCTCTACGTTCTGTTACTGTTGCAATAGATGGTTCTATGTTTGTTGCAGCCAATAACAAAGTATAATTTTTCTTCTTTTCTTTACTTTTAACGCTATTATTATATACTATTATAGAAAAAACTTTTTTTTTTGTGGTTAAAAAGGGAAATTGTTATGTATGGAAAATGTCAAATCCTAGAGATTCTACAAATCTACAACCAGTCACTAAATTCTCTGCTCACAAAAAATATATAACTCGATGTTTGTTAAGTCCTGATGTTAAGTATGAAATTATCATTATTATTTTTTTTTTTTTGTATTTTTATTAAATCATTTGATTTGATGAGTTATATTAATTTGTTTTCTAAATTATTATCCTTCTAGACATTTGGCAACTTGTTCTGCAGATACAACTGTTAAAATATGGTCAACTGTAAATCATGATTTTAAATTGGATAAGGAATTAAAAGGTCATCAAAGATGGGTTTGGGATTGTGCATTCTCTGCCGATTCTGCGTATCTAGTTACTGGTATATATATCTACTTTTATATTTATATATAAATTTGTTTAAATTGATTGTTAATAAAATTTTTTCTTTAGCATCATCTGATCATGTAGCTCGTCTATGGGAATTACAAAAGGGAGAAACAATAAGACAATATAATGGACATCATAAAGCTGCAGTTTGTGTTGCTCTTAATGATTTATCTATCGGAAGTTAATAATTTTTTTTTTTTAGAAAAAAAAAACTTTTATTTTATTGTTGTAATTTGATTTATTTATTTTTTTATATATAATTAATTAATAGTAATAATCTTTTAAACCCTTGTGATGTTAAAATTATTGATTCGATTAATTGAAATAAATTTAATGAATTATTTTCATTAGGAATTAATAGATCAGAATAAATTGTTAATGTAATCATATAAAATAATTTTCATCAGGTGTCCGGTAACTAGGACAAGCCAACAATGGTAGATAACAATTTAAAAATGAAATTGTAAATTTTTTTATAAATTTTCCGTAATTTTATGCCATCACAAATATATAATATTAAATAAATAAATAAAATGAAAAAAATAAACACCCAATAATTATTATAAAAAAAATGGACCTCCCAAAAATACAATATATATATATATAAATAAAGATATTCTAATCAATTTTTTTTGGATGGAATGAAAATAATTAAATTAAATTAAATTAAATATAAATTAATATATATATATTATTATAATAAAAAAAATGCAAGAGTTTTTTTGATGAAATAATTTACACATTAATATTATGAAAGATATATGCAGGAAATATAGCTAACAAAAAAAAAAAAAGAATTTGTCCAAATGTTCGTGAAGAATTAAAATAAATTGTATTGATAAATAATTAAATTAATGTTGAAAATACTTTTAGAAACACATAAATTTGTTTCTTTTTGCAATGAGTTGTTCCATTCGACTCTCTAAAGCTAATCTTGCCTTTTCTGCTCTTTCTTTGGCTTTTCGTTCCTCCTCTAATACTGTCTCCATAACCTTCTTCTCTTCTTGCACTGTAGATTTGGCCTCTTCTACTTTTAATTGCGCATCATCTAATTCTGTTCTCAGCTTTCTGATTTCATCCATATGATCACTTTTTTCACGTTGTAATATCGATAATTGTTGCTTAGCAACACGAAGTTCTGTTTCTTCATCTTTGAGCGCAGTTTCCAAAGATTCAACAAGGTTTCTGTTTTGTAAGCCTTCACCTTCAAGTTTTGCAATCTTTTTGTGTAATTTCTGAATTTCTGATACGAGTTCAGCTGCTGTTGTATTTGCATCTGATCCTCTTCTTGAACGTGCTCTTGATGAATGTCCAATTGGAAGACCAGGTGTAGGAGGTTGAGAGTTAGGATTTGAAGGTGGTGGTGGTGGTGGATGATTCGGTGGTGGTACTGGTGGCGGTGTAGGTTTAGTGCGAATGTTCTTTTTGAATTCTGATGAAGTAGAAGATGTTGTTGACATACGGGAAAGCGCGTTATCATTATCATTTCTTTCCAAGTCTGTGATTCTTTCTTTAAGGGTTTTAATAATATTATTTTGATGCGCAATTAAAACTTCTTGTTTAATAATTTTGTTTTTGGCTGAATCTTCAGCACCTGAATGTGAATTTGTATCGCTAATGCTGCTACGTGGATTCGATAAATCTATGCCCAAATCTTTAACATCATGCTCAAGTTGTTCATTTATTTCCAATAATCGTGTAATTTCATTTTCCATTTCATTAGATTCAAGAGATGATTTTTGTTCCAGAATAGAAAGTTCTTTTTCAAGATTTATAACTTGCTCATTTAATTGCGTTATTTGAGTGGCTGCATGATTTCCGCCAAGTCCAACTAAACGTAATTGTTCAAGCAATGATTCTACTTTGAGGTCTAGCTTACTACGCTCTTCAAAATAATTTTCATTGGCTTCTTCCAATTCATCCCTTTCTGATTGAAGTTCCTTTATTTTTTCTCTTAATTTGTTATTTTCACTATCGTTAATAACTTCTTTTTCCAATGTTTTTATCTTTTCCTTTAATGCTTTGATTTGTTCTCCGGCTTCAGCTGTCTTCAAATTGAGATTTTCATTAGTTTGACGCAAAAGTTCATTAGCTGATGCCAGTTTAGCTAATGCAGGATTTGTCAATGCTGAATTATGATTATCGGTTGGTTTTTTCTTGGCTTCTTCAAGAGCGATTTCTAATTCAACAATACGACTCTTTTGTTGTTTTGATAATTCATCAGTATCATTAAATTTGTTAGCAACTTCAGCAAATTCTTCGGCCAAATTTTCAATATCTTTTTGAAGTTGTTCTACGTGTTGTTCAAGATTTTCATTTCTTTCAATTTGTTCAGATTTTTCGGATTCAAGTAGTTTTGTGGATTTTTCTAATTCTACTACACGATCTCTATTTTCTACAACTTGGGCATGTGCTTTTTTAAGTTGATTTGCAAGATCTTCAACCGCAGAATCGTCAATATTTTCATAACTTTGAATTAAAGAATCATGAATGGTATCTTCGAGTTTATTTTGTAAATTGGTACATTTCTCTTGAAGTTCGTCTATTTCTTTATTTGCATCTTTAAGTTTAGAAATCTCTTTGTTACGGAGACTTTGTGCCTCTTTTAATTTAATTTCTAACTCTTTGACTATTTGGTTTTGTTCAGCTTCAATTGTTTTTGATTTCGAAAGTTCATTTTTTATGAGCTCAATCTCAGCTGAAGAAGAATGATTTGATAACTTGAAAGTGAGTTCATTTAATTTGGTCTGGAGTTGTTTGATTCTTTCGGATTCTTCGATTTCAGACGATCTGGAAGAAGATAATTCTGTTTGCGTTGCAAGTATTATTTTTTCCAATTCAGCAAGCATATTATCCTGATTAACAATATCATTATCTTTTTCTTTTAAGGCATCAACAGCTTTCACTAGTTTGCTTTCCAAATCATTGATCATCGTGGAACGTTTTTCGTCCAAATCTTTTGCGTACTGAAGCTGCTCCTTCACAACTGAAAGCTTTCCTTCAATATTTGTGATATTTTCTTTATTTACATTTGATGAGTTTTTATATTTACTGAGTTCTGTCTCTAAAGTTACCAATGTATTCTCTAATGATTTTATTGCATCTTTTTGACTAGCCTCTTTCTCTTTAAGGGTTTTCTTTAATTCTTCAACATGTTTGTCATTCTGATCACGTGATTTTTCAATTTCTATTAATTGTGAACCAAGTTCAGCAAGAATTTCATTTTGTGCAACCATTTCAAGTTTAGTATTGGATAATTCTTCACGTAAGGCTTTGATGTTACTATCACTACCCGAGCCTGCAATTTTGTATGTCTCAATTTCAATTTCCAAAACTTTTACCTTTTTTTGTGAATCATCACGTTGTTTTTCGATTTCATTTAACGACTTTGAAAGACTTTCAAATTCATCCAAAGAAGTTTTGTTTTTTTCTTTTGTTATCGCTAATTCTTGTCTCAGAACTTTTAGTTCTTCCTCTTGGGAAATCACAAGTTCTTTTTGAAGACTGAAACCTCCTTTCATAGTTTGTAATTCTTTTATTGCTGCTTCTTTGGTATTCCTAACTTTACGTAGTTGTGATTGTAATTGTTCAATTGTAGATTTTTGTTGAGTTTCGATTTCTTTTAAAAGTTTGACTTCCTCTTTAACAGTTTCAAAAATATTGGCTTCTTTTTGTGAAGAAAGCAATTTGGATTCAAGTTCTTGAACATTTCTTTTTAGATCTGTTTCGGAGGCTTTTAAGGATGAAATTTGGTCACGCAATGAAGAAATATTGGGATCTTCATCTTGAACCAATTCCAAACGGATTTCAAGAGTCTCCATTTGCTTACGTTGTTCTCTTTCGTTAGCACGCAATTTTTCAATTTCTTCATTTAACTCTTTAACTCGTTGGCCATCTTTGGAGGTTTGTTGACTTGATTTAAGTTCAAGTTCTTGGATTTTAGCTAATTGTTCAATTTCTTTGTTTTTAATTACGCTAATCTCACGTTTCAAAAGTGCAACTTGAGACCTATCCTCAGCTTTCTTCAATTTATTTTCCAAGCTTTCGATTGTTTTCTTATATGTAATTTCAGAATCTTTTGCGAAGGCTAAATCAGTTCTTAACTTGATAAGATCTTCATCAACCTTACCACCCTGTTCTGCAAGTATTCCCTCCAACACTAAGATGCGTTCACGTTGTGCTATCTCAACAGATCGCAAATGTTCTAATTGTTCTTGTAAATGAGATTCCTCGTTATCTGTGCCCATCTTTGCCTTCAGAACACGAAGCCTCTCTAAAGCAACAACTTCACGACCATGGACTTCCTTAAGTTCTTTTCTCAAGGTCTCCAATTCAGCATGAAGAACTTTGTTAACATCTTCACCATTTTCCAATTGGTATAATCTTGCTTTAAGTTCTCTTATTTCATTCTCCAATACCTCTTCATGTTTATGAACCTCCATTAATTTAGTTCTGAAGGCCAATGCTTCAGATTCTTTTTCTCTCAATCTTTGTTGTATTGTTGACTTATCAGCAAGATCTCTTTTTAATGTATCAATCAATTCATATTTTTGAACAATTTCTGTTTTGAGCATGTCAACTTGTTTTCGAAGATTAGTAAAAAGTTCAGTTTCATGATCAGCTAGGTTAGATTTTTCACCCAACAATTCATGTTGTAATTCGTTCAGTTTTCGTACAAGAACTTCTATTGTATCGTATGTTTGATTCATATTATCTGCTATTGAACTTCTTCTAGTAGGAACATGTTGTGCCTCTTTGGCTTTAGTCAGTTGAAATTCAAGATCTTTTACTCGGCTTTCTAATTCTTTAACATGCTTGTCACCAATTTCATATTCATCGTCATCATCTTCAGAAATTGTTTCTAACCTATTATTTCTCTCTTCGATCGCAAGACGAAGAACATCTCTAGATTCTTGGAGTTCATCCTCTAATCTCCTAATAGTGTTTTGGTTTTCAACTGAAGGAAACAATAATGCAGCTATAGTATGACTTTTAGCCTCGATCTCATTTTGAATTCTTTCAACTTGTTGACGCAACTCAGATGCTTGTTCAGATTCAGGTGTGACGGTGGTGGTGGTTTTATCGATTTCCTCAAGGTTAGCAATTACTTGATTAACTTGAATTTGTCGTTGGGCTTCTTGAGCTTGGATAAGTTGTTCATCGTATTCTTTTATTTTTGATTTTAATTTATTGATAGCCTCATCGTTAACTTTATCAAATTTCTGATCACGCTCCTCAATAAACTGATTCATTTCTGATTTAAGTTGAAGAATGGTAGATTCAATTTTGAGAATTTCATCATTATTTATTTCTTCTTTATTATCATTCTTGGAAAGCAAATCAAGCGTTTTTCTTTGTTCTTCTTTAAGTTGTTCAACATCGTCTCTAAGACGATGTACGATATCAATTTGATCTATTTCACTTGTAGCAGCAGAAAAGCCACCATCAGTATAAGCATATTCAGAAGTCATAACTGACATAACTTCCAATTGCGCTAAAGCATCACGTCTTTTAATTTCTTCTCGAAGCTCCTCTATTATTTCAATAGTAGCTAAATGATTAATTTCGAGACGAGCAAATTCTTGTCTAACAGCATCTAAACCTTTTGCCTTATCCTCATGGAGTAATTCCAATTGCCTAAGTTCAATTTGAAGTTTTTGAATCATAGCCATACTAGTAAGTTCTTTTTTCTCGGCACCTTTAATTTCAGTAGATAAAGACCTTGCTTTTCTATGTGTGCCACGTGTGTAAGGTGACAAAGAATTGGGATTACTTGGTTCGTCAAAAGTATCGGTCATTGGAGTTGAAGGAGTGGTTTCAACTATATTAAGATGCAACATTTTAGCGTCAGCCAATTGAGTATAAAGTTCACTTAATTCTTCAAGGCAACCTTGATATTTATCTTTTATTTCTTGGAATTCCAAAACAGTATCTTCGTGAGTTTTTTGAAGTTCATATAATTTAGATTCAAGTTCTGAGACACTTGAATAGTCGCTTGTTGATATTGAAGTGTTCAAACTGGATGATGTGGATAAAGGAGTGTCGATATCAGACGATGAGAAAAGGGATGATGAAGGTGAAGATGAAGAAGAGGAGCTGTCAGATTTCAAGTGTTTTAATTGACTAATATTATTTACAAGTTCGTCAACTTTTTTCTCAAGTTCAGCGATTCTCTTATCACGATCTTCAATCTCAGTCAACAATAATTTAGTATCTTTTTCGTCATTGGATTTTTCTTGGTTGAATCTTCCTTCTAAACTTACATAAGCTTCTTCTTTCTCTTGTAAAAATTGTTCGAGTTGTGAAAGAGTCACATTTGCATTATTAGATTTTTGTTCAGTTTTGAGCAATTTGGCTTCTAATTTCCGGATGATGCCTTCACTATCTTCAGCGTTTGATTGAAGTTCATAAACCTTATGTTTTAATTCAGTTATGACTTCTTGATCTTTTTTCTGTTCGATATCTTGAGAATTAACCTTAGCCTCTAGATCTTTAATATAATTTTCAGTAGTTTCCTCACGTTCGTGAAGTTTAAATATTTTATTTTTCAAATCTGTTATCATGTTTTTATTTTTATGATTTAAATCTTCAACTTCAGCAAGTTTTATTGAATGTTCTTGAACTAGTTTTTCTGAAGTGGACAAAGCAGCACGAGTCAAAGAAAGTTTACTTTCAAGATCAGCGATTGATTTTTCATATTCTTTAATCACAGGACCTACGGTTTCTTGAAAATTGAGAAACAATTTATTATTGTCGCCGTTGTTATTAACGTTAGCATAAATAGTTTCTTCTTCTATTATAGGAGTTAAACCATTTGAGGAATAACCGGAGTTTTCAAGGTTATCTTGATATGTGTATAATTCAGCTGTGGTTTTTGCATGTTTTTGAGAGAGTTCAGCATATGAACGTTGTAATTCTGATATTTGTATTTCGAGAGCTTCAATATCTTTGTCTTTGTTGTGTAAATTGGTAGTCGATATGGTTAATGGAGTGGGTGGAGAGTCATCTCTGCCGTCAGGTTGTAGAATAGGAGTATTTCTGCCAGAACCAGGATTGTTAGAAGAAATGCTAACAGATTGTTTCAAAGCCTTTATTTCATTTCTAAGTTTTAAAACTAAATTCTGTAAATGCTCCAAATCATGCCAGCCAGCTTCTTCCTGATTAACAGTGGCAACATTTTTTATGTTCCTAGCACGATTAGCGTATTTAAGAGTGTTTATTGTCTCGCTGATATTATATTCAGCTGGAGTAGCACAAGCAATCATTAAGGTTTGAGCATTGCCACCTAATGAATCTTGTAATAGACGAGTGAGTTTTGAATCACGATATGGAACATGTGTTGTGTTTTTTGCTCTTGATGGGTCGCCCAAAGCAGAAATAACATTTCCTAATGCCAACAAACCAGAATTAATTGATATTCCCTCTTTTGCTCTATCTCCTACTGCAGAAGTTCTTTTAAGCTAATAGTGATAATAATAATTATATATATATATATTATTTATTGGAAAAAAAAATTCTTAATAATTTAATATATATTTTTTTTAAAAAAAACCACACATACTCTTTCACTACCAGCCAAATCTACAAAATGAAATTTACTTGTAACTGAAACCCATTCACCTTTTTCATTATTTTTTGAGAAACTCATTCTAGAACCAGATCTTGATGGTGGATTGCTGGAAGTTGACGAATAATTGGTGGGAGATGTTGGTAATGGACTATCACGAGCATTATTAGTAAATGATGATGATGAAACCATTTTTTGTTGTGAAAGGGTAACAGAAAAGATGGCATGTGATCGAGATGATTGTGAATTCATATCGGTGAAATTGACTTGGCGGTTCAATGATCCACGAGCCAAATGACCCATTACTTCATCAACGCTAGTGACTTTAATTTCTTGTAAACCACTCCATATGATATTACCTTTTGAATCCTCTCTGATCATTAATTGTGGCTTGCTTTCCAGATCTTCTTCTTCGGAAAGTAGATCAATAAGATCTTCGTTGTATAATTCAACAAAAGATACTTTCATTGTACATTTACGATTTTTATACTGTGCAGAATTTATATATGAGAAAAGGGTACTTATAGCACGTGGAATTATGCCTTTTTCCTCTGAAGATTTAGTGGAATCATCAGCCGTGCCCATTGTATGAGTTTTACCTGATGATGTTTGACCATATGCTAAAACAGTTACATTAAATCCTAAAAAATTGAAAATAAAGTTAACCAAAAACTTTTTTTTTTTTTTTTTTTGTTATCAAAAATTAATAAATAAATAAATATAAAAACTCAATTAATTAATTTACCTTCTAAAAATTTGTCAACCATGTTTTTTACAGCAACATCATATAAATCTTTTTGAGACGCGTCAGCACCAAAAACATAATCAAATGTGAATGTTTGTTTCTTTTCGCCCAAAACCGTTACTTGATTTGGTGCGAATCGTGAGGTGGATAAAACGTTTTTTTGAAATCGTGAAGGTAAATTTACCATATCTTCAGCAGTTAGAGGTCTTATACGAAGAGCCACTTGTACTGATGTGTTTTCAGATGTTGTGTGAGTCATTTTTTTAACTTTGTTGTTTTGATGATGATGATGATGATGATATTAAAAATACAAATTATTTTAAATTATTATAAAATACAAATTATCCAAATTTCTTTTTTTTTTTTTGTTAATAAATAAATAAAGGAAAGTTTTTTAATCGATTAGAATTCTTTTCGTTAATTTTTATTGTTGTTGTTGTTGTTGCTGCTGCTGTTGTTGTTGGGGGGATCCTGCCCGGATGTATTAATATAATATGGGACAAAACAATATTTAGTCTGTAATGTTTATAAATATACGGAGAATATAATATGTGAGTGAGTGTGAAAGTAATGAAAATTGAATTCTTTTTAAAAAATGTTTCAAATTCAAAATTTAAATATTATATAATATTTATTCATTAAAAAATTTGTTTTTTTAGTCGTGACCGAAGATAATGTATAAGTGAATATTTTGATGCAAATGCTTTTGTTATTAAAATAAAAGGAACGAATTAATTTATTGTTAGATGAATGATGGTGAAAATAGAAGGAATGGTAGTGAATGAATGTATTAATTAAATATAAAATAAATAAAAAAAAAATAAAAGGAAAGAATAAATTAAAAAAAAAGCTTTAAATTTTAACTTTCATCAGTGTTACCACGAATTTCATAGGTGCATTTTGTTAAATTTTATTTATATCGCTTAATATGTACATCCTTTATTAGGTTAATTACAATTATTTATTTGAATTACATGAATGATAGATATAGTAGGTAAACAACATTTCAAAGTACCAATCAAAAAACACGAGAAAAATTTTACATTTAACGTTCTTATGAAAGAACAAACGTATTAGTATCGTATTTTGATTAAAAAAAAGATATTTACAAAATATCGTTCTAGAAAAGTGTAAAGAACACATCTAATGAAAAAAGAATGAGTGGTTCTTGCATGATTGAAAAATAATGGGAATTGATTGTGGAAAGCGAGGACGATCTAATGGTGGAAGACCGACCGAAGATCAATTTAATTTTATTCGTGTGACGTCTTTTTTGAATTACCTCGTGATACAGCGAAAAAATTGAGAAATAATCTATTGGATAAAAATCAATTAGGAAATTTTAAAAACAGCATGAACAATTTAATAATATTTACGGAAAAACGAATGATGATGATAATAATGATGATGATGATAATAAAATATAATAATAATAATAATAACAACAATAATAATAAAATTTATTATTATTATTATTATTATTATTATTATTATTATTATTATTATTATTATTATTATGCAAATTGCAAAGCCCGAGGGAAAATTCCCCGGACGCCATTTAAATCCCGAGTCCACAACTGTTACACTTTTTATTTATTCTCTTCAATATATCCATCCACTCACAGTTGCTATATGTTTTGGAAAGTGTAGGCTTCCAGATTCCATGCATATTCACCGGCTTTACACTTGTAAACATGGCATGTGTACAACTCATAATGTTCTTTTTTTAGCTAGACACCAACAAAAAATACGATTTATATATCATACATTTAATAATAGTCTATTATAAGACAAAAGTGAATATCTACGAACTTCCCCTCCAACATTTGGCCAACAATTCTTATTTCACCTTTTTTATGATGCTTGATATGGTTATATTTGTGTCTTATATGATTGTTGTGGCCTCTAGCAACAATCTCACGACCATGTGTATGAAATATAATTGGTTTTTTGGTTCCTTTACATATTTCTATGAATAACTTTTTCACGAGCATAGATTATAACATCATATGGTACTTTATCCATAAAGTTCCCATTCTTTTGTAATACAAATTTCTAAAGGACCTTTATTCTGTCCCTCCTTATAATTCTCTCTACCATCCACCGTATTATATACCAATCTTGCACAAACCATCCATTTTTTCAAATTACATACTTTGTTAATGTTACCTTCTTTTGTTTTCTTTTTTTTTTTTGCCCTTTTTATCTTTTAATAAAGCTTTCATTATCACCATCTTCTTCTTTGTAGTTATTAGATTCACAATTTATATGATGTGCAATTGATTGAGGAAACCATGAGTTTAGTGCAATGGAAGTGGGAGGCGTTTTCGTCGATGAGGTTGAAAAAGAAATACTGTGTAATGATTTTTATATAATAAAAAACCATTTCACTCGCCAGCCTTATTCAGATCTTTATAATATCGAATATACAAGTGACAATTAATGCCATATCATCTAAAATATACTCTTTTTTAGTTTTATGTTAAATTTTTTAAATAGTTATTAAATAAAATAATTAAATTAAATAATAAATAATAAACAATAATAAAGTTGCGAGTGAGTGAGTGAGTGTATTTTTAAGTAATTGCCAATCGACTTGGATAAAATTTTTTTTTTTTTTTTGATAGAATAAATGCAAGAGAAGGAAACAAAATCACACAAATTAATAAATAATATAAAATTGTATAACACCACATGACAAAAAGCAAATAGAAGAAGAATCTAAGCGAGCAGTTTATGGTGTGAAGAATCAGAAATCTTAACCATTTTTTGATCCAATTAGAAAACGAAAATATTGTGTGAATCTATTTATGGTCCAAATCTTCCGAAATATATTAAACCCACTTCGGAACAACATTTGATTGAAGAAAAAAAAAATACTGTCATTAATATTTAAGTAGAAATCAATAAACTTCTTCACAAACTCAAATTCAAAACTAAATAAAATATTTCGAGTAAAAAAATCACGTATTTATTAAAAAATAAAGACCAAAACATGGTTTTTTTTTTAATTTTTTGATTTTTTATTAGGATTTTTTTTTAAATATTTCACAAATATAATTAAATAAATTATGCAAAAAATTGAAATTTTTTTTTTCCAAAAAAAAAGTAAACAAAAAAAAACAAGCGGAAAGGAGTAAAGGATGGGAGAGAGGAGGGGAGAAACATATGTATTTCATATGTATTAATATTAAAGCAAAGAAATAAAAGAAAAGATTGAAAAAATTTGGGAAAAACCAAAAAATAAAATGATAAAAATTAGAATTACAAAAATGAAAGGATGTTGTTGTTATTAATTATTATTAATTATTATTATTATTATTTATAATTAAAAAATTTTGATTTTTATACAATTTTGTAAAAATTTAATAATAATAATATAATAATATAAAATAATAATATAATGTAATTAATATTACTGATAATAAATATTATTAAAAGTATATACTATATATTAATATATAAAACTCTTTTATTAAAAAACCCATTATTTTATTTCCAAAAAAATAATTAAAAAGAAACTATAATAACAAAAAAAAAATTAACAAATATTTACCACCTCGTTTATATATATATATTTATTTATTTATTTAAACAATATAAAACAATGAAAATATAAATAAATAATAATGTATGTGTGTGTATATTATAAAAATATATAATAGCAAAATTATATATTTTTTGTTATCATATCTCCACCATTCTATCATCATCATTCTTGGCGCTGACCTTTTTTCTTTTAGAATGTGATTGAGCTTTGAAAGCACGACTTTGTCTTTGATCCATTTCCATTCTCATATTTTCAACCTCTGATTCTGATGAATCTGAATCATTGTCGTCATCATCATCATTACTTATGTTAAGTTGTATGGGAATTGGACGTGATGTTTTGCGATGACCGTTAAACCTTGAAGAATTAGATGATCTACGGGAACGTATACTGGATGATGACGATGATGGTGATGAAGAATTTGAAGATGAATTTGAGGAGTGGTGATGACTATTGTTGTTATTGCTATTGTTATTGTATGATTGTGGTATACCATCAAAATGTATTTGACCCATTGCATTAGCACCACCGCCTGTCATACCAACATATCTTAATTTCCCAACCCAACTTTCAGCCTTAACAACAGTTTCGCTAAAAATTCCAGCCACGCTATTAAGCATGTCACGACTTTCAGAGGCTAAACTTAAAAGTCTATGAGCATAATCAGTAGTTTGGTTTATTGGATGTGAATTGGCGGGAGCTAATTGTGGAGAGGACATTGGTGATGGTGAGGCAGAATGATCATTGTGATTCATGTATGCCCATCTTGTTGGTAATTCTAGTA